GGGGGGGGGGAGGGGTGGGGGGGGTGGTGGGGGGGGGGGGTGATAACACAATATTATATACTTTTTTGGGCTTTTTGTATGCCTTATATTTGATAGTAAAAGGTTATGATAGACAGGAAAGGGGGTTATAGTTTTATTGCTACTTTAAGTTTACTCGGATCCTTTTTTTGGTTTTGCTGGTGTTGTAAAGCATGTAGAAGAAACACTTGTCACCCCAATTTTCTGTGTTTTCACCTGTGTTACCAACTTCACTCAAATCAGTACCACCAATTTTACACTAATTTTTTGGAATATATGTTTTTAAACAGTTGCTGCCTTCTCTCAACTAAAATAATTAATGAAAAATAAGTTGTACTTTTGGCAATTAAATATTAAGCTTTATTTTTAAATCTTTATGCACAATTGCTGAGCTCTAGACAGTTATATACATAATAATAATTAATAAAAGCCCGGAATACTTTTAATTTACAGCACTTTCAAATAAATATCAAAGGAAACACTTGTTAACGATTTATTGAAGAGCTTTGTATAGTGATGAGGCGGATCTTCTGAAGTCTGATTGGGCTTATATTGGGGGAGCCAGGAAGTGTTGCTTTGAGTAACTTACACTTTTGCTTTTCTGAAGAAGTCTCCTTTATGTCACCTTTTCTTTATTTTAGACTATCCTGTGCTGCACGAATTACAAACACACATGCACCGACATCCACTGACATTGGACCCTGATTTCAAACTTAATGTAATCAGCAAACATCTGATATTACAATCCTTCTAGCTGAACGGGACAGGCAGAACAACGCCCAACTTACAGTGGCAGTATTAATAAGACTGCCTGGTCAACTAGCCAGATGGATGTGTAAGAAGATGGAGTGACAGCGGGGGCGGCCAAATCAACAAGAACGCGGCAATTCGACGAGCTGTGGTGGGTGGGATGCTAAACATAGATATAATTCATATAAACTATATACTGTATATGTTCTATGTCATAACTCTAAGGGAAACAGGGCTTCAGCTTGAGACGGCTGTTTCCACTTGGTCCTAGTTGTTGATTGTCATCTGTTCACTTATAGAGTAACATTGTTATGGGGTAAAACTGCAGGGGACCAAAACGGCCTTTGTTTGGAAAAGTCAGGGAAAGTGTCCTTGTGTCCCCCCCCCGGCGCGCCCCCCAAATACGTCCGTGTATTCAGCTTTAAATTGTTTGAAACAATTCTATCCCTGATTTGAAGAACGTTACGATTACAACAGGACACAGACGACTGTTGCTCCTCCAGAGGGAGTTCAGTTTGAAAGGAAGGCTCCTGCTGGTCCAGTGAAACAAGGGGCTAGTCACAGGAACGTATAGGAGTAAGTGAATAAATGAGGGAAGTGCTCAGTGACTCGGCTCCAGACAGCAGAAAGAAGAACAACAGTCAGTGTTCAGCTGTGTGTGTTTGACTTACTTTACTGAAATTTAAAAACGTTATCATTATAGGTTGAACTCATTAATCAAAGAGGAAAGTTTCCTCAGTGAGTCACACTGAGACAGACAGTCTGAATCAGAGTATTAAAAGGGAGAAAAGACCTTCAAACATCATAACAAACGTATGCATCAAATAAAGTCTAAGAGCTTTTGTTCTGCATCAACCTGGAAACGAGAGGATTCAACTTATAATGGAACTGTGAGCTCTGCTACTTACACACAGTGACAGACAGGTGCAACCTGCACATTGCTGTTGGTCTTAGGTGAAGCTTGCTGAAAACACTATCTCTGCTCTCTGTAGCGATCTCAAACTCCAGAAGCAGAACTTTGTTAAGCTCCTCTTCGTCAGTGAAGCGGTTTGGGGCATGGGCGAACCGGCACACATGGGAACACATGGGAGGTAGGCGAGCACTTAAAAAAAAATCCTCTTCGCCACAAACGGTTTTCTTTATCTTATCTGATCTATCATATCAACTGTTGGGAATCGGCAAACTGGCGCCCTATTTCTGACCTTCTAAATTCTACTAATATTAAACTAGCAGCTGCTGTCCAACGTAGTCCTGCAGGTTTCACCTGTGATGAATAATAATAATAATAATAATAATAACTGACAGGGGATAATGCTGTGATAAATAGATAGTAGAGTAGAAAGTGAAGC